TTGAAAGGCGATTTGATGTTTATCCAACTCATCCAGGACTGAAACTTTAGGATAAGTGGAACTACAAATATAAACTACTAGGAAGGTTAAACAACCTCTACATTATAACTTCATATGTAGGGTTCACTGTGCATCTATCATTGGCGGTTTTATAAGATACATGCGACTACCTTCTATAATCATCAGTAATGTATCAACCTACCAGTAAATTCTGGGATTTTCAGATGACGTAAGAGCATATGTCGACACGGGAAAAGACATGTCCTGTAAACTTTACATGAAGATACTACCTGGTGTTTATCAGATCCTAGATTTCTATGATCTTCCACGAAAAACACCCAGTTCGACAATTTATATCCTATGTACATTACTGTTAGTCATTTCAAATCTACCGTTGCGTTTCTGGCTGCATAATTTATCAAGTAATTGGAAAAGCTTTCTCGGTGATGCATAGTTCTATATCTGTGCTTACTCTTTCTGTCACTTCACCTTGGATTCCACATATACGTCCTTCAAATGGATGTATGCAGAGCGTCCTTCTCTTTAATTGCTTGTGCAGGATTACAATTCTGCTGTTTGTAACGTAACGACATCATTGTTGAAAGCCACCAACCACAATCGTTTACGTTTTAGCTAGACACAACCTAAATATCTGTCAACCTCTTGACTCATTTTACTAATGGTAAGATCATGATCATAACAACTGCATTGAACTTTATTAAACTCTAAGTGCCTTACCTGATGACAAGATCCTGTCTTATCAATCTGTAGAGATATTGCTTCAGAAGAGAATTTCTCATCTGCATATAACTTGCACATAACGATTTACTCCATATATTTATCTTTTTCACATCGCTTTACAGACTCAAAAAGAGTATAGCACAATATCAACATTTGGGAAGACGATTTCTACGGCTGCCTTTAGCTCCCTGGTGCAATCCCAGCAAACGTTTGCGTTCCACTAGTTTGACCCATTACGTGATTCAGCTTATCCAAGCAACATCTCTCAGTGGTTCGCGTTCATTTCATCTGAACATCACAGGTCGAACATTATGAAAGTCACTAGTAACTACAAACTAGAACAATTTATAACTACCCTTAAAGTTACTCAAGCAATAATTGACTTCCTTCCCTTGTTACCAGTATACGCCGAGTCGAAACTGATTACTTCGGGAAACCTGTGGTATGCATAAATTTGACCGTTACGGTTAAACCACACCCTGGATACTTGATGGCATTAACCCTTATTCCAAGCGCAAACAAGATAACCAGCGTTACTTATTTTATTCAACACTACCATTTGAGATTGATAACCTGTTGAATAAACGTTATCAAAGAAGATATTACTTGGCATAAATTTCATCAGGCTTCTTAAATAACCATGAGTCACCTTTTCCAACATTGCTTTCATATCGCATTCTGTAACGTGGTCTGTTTACGATCTAAGAACCATCATGAGCGTCATTACCGTCAATTCCTCAACATAAGAAATTCTGAATGTTGAGTCTTTCAAACGGTAGTTCTGATCAGAAGGGTTGATGTGCACTCAATTCACATCCAGTGAAATATATATCAATTATACTGAAAGTGAATTCTAATCCTCTCCAAGAATCCGGGGCTTTCTGGTCTAAAATGGTATTCAAAGAAAAATTCTTCGATAAACACAATAAACAAATGTTTAAAAACTCAGATATCTTACTACTGAAGGTGCAAGGTCAAAATACAGACTAATCCATCGTTTTCATGACTTCCTGATTCCGTTTTCACTTTTTTAGTGCACTTTCTTTGCAAAAAATACTGCTGTTTTTAAAATAAATGAACAAACGTCCAAATTACCTAAATATTAGCAAAACAGTGTTCTTTGGTATCAGAGGTTGCCCACAGTTTTGTTTCAATTTGTGGGTACCCGACCATCGACGTTCACTGTTTTAGCGTCTTCTTTGTGCTTATCAACACCCATGCACTCAGAGTGCATAGTTCAGCCATCCATGGACAGAAAAATTGTAGCTTTTAACCCTACAATAACGATTTAGCTTCGGATTAATCAATAAACTGTTCTCCTGAGCACTTATAACTGTTTAACATGTTTTCTTATTGGTCATTTGTTATCACTACTTAAACATAGGTAGTGGACTGATTGGTCACGGGTTGAGCAATAACAGTACAACCAGCATTCTTACTATTGGTCAGCACGAGTATCATTACGTTTGTGAGTATCCGGTGTTGTTTGGTCTCGGATAGAGAGAAAAGACAGGTCTGCAAAGGGACCAAACAAGGTATACTTTATGTTATCACGACTACAGTTAGACAGACGGTGGATCAGCCAGTCAATAGGAATATTTTAAACAGTGAATTATCCATTTGTATTAGCTATACTTACCTTTGTTCTTGTATTCGGTCTTTCAACTCCAACACACGTTCCTATACGTCCATCATGTCTTCTCCATTAATTAGTCGGGTCTAGAATCAACTAGAGATTTGTTGAATGTTAGTGGCTGACAGTGGATATCCGTGTATCGTTAGTGGCCATAGTAGCTTCCAATTCATAACACCTTTACACTTGCTTTCAACCAACATCTCTATTTTGGTTGCGTACCTCTATATTTTTATACCATTTTATTGCCTCTGGTCATACTGATTTGTCTATTGCCCTGTGTTTTTAACAAATGACTAAAATATCGAGACCCATATGCAGATGGTCGTTGTTGTACAGTTTCCTACCTTCACCCTTAGGTGAATTAACTCAGAAGAAACCAAGAGCAAATTAGTTATTGTTAGTCTTTCAGAGAACTCTATGAAGGAGGTTTCAGACTTGCTGGATGACTCTGCTCCAAACCTATGTGACTGAATTAGACAGGTCCTCATCAAAATAAGTTGCTCTGACTGACCAATAAAAGGTCCAGGTGTAGGAAATGACAAGACGGAGATGAAGGAAGGAATGTTTATTACTGACATCTCGTAAAGTAGTCATCAAATATTGTACACTTTTCACCAATACAGCCATTTGCACAATAGGCTTCAGTTCCTCTTATGCTTCTATCTTGATTTGCTCCTAATACACCCCCATGGTCTCTTGCGTTTTTCTGGGCATAATCTTTACCCATTGCTGGTAATTGCCTATGACTTCTGCCACCCTCTCAACATATACTACTTATATTCATTCTGATCAGCAGCCCTAACTACACACGGACCTTTCTGCAATGTTCATCCGGGCAGTCGTAGACCTACGAAAACCGTGCACTGAATGCGACCGCTGGTTTATGATTTTAAGACTGACAGTATTTTTCTCATGCAGCTTTAGCTCCAACGTCTTCCACAGTCGGCTCATGGCATCCATCCACCTTTCCATAAGTCTCCATTGATGCAATACGGACGGAACAGTAGGAGTGACACGACTTCAGTCCGGATTGACAGCAGCCACCTTAGCAACGACTGAAATAGCCAACTAGGTTTCTTTATGTCGGCTGGAAGGGTATGTTTTCATAAGATAACTCTAAATGGTTATTTCAGTTGTTGTTAGAGTGGTCTATAAGGTTACTGGATATGCTGAAGGCAGCGAAGATGGGACTTCAAGTGAATATAGAGAAGACAGAGTTGATGCAGATACCGCACCACCACCACCAACAACAACAAATACAACAACAACAACAAACTCCAATCACCATCAACGGGAGAAACTTAAAGGAAGTAACCTCCTTCACTTATCTAGGAAGCACTGTTTCAACTACAGGCAGCACAGGCACAGACGAGGATGTCAAATCCAGTCAGAATCGGAAAAGCAAGACAGGCGTTCATTAGCCTGAAACCAGTGTAGAGATCTTCTGCACTCAGCATGTGGAACAAGATGCAGATTTTCAACACCAAGGTCAAATCAGTGCTTCTGTGTGATGGTTCAGAGACTTGGGGCTTTATGAAAGGGATTTCCAATAAACTACAGACATTCATCAACAACTGTCTACGCTAGCTCCTTACTGAAGATCAGATGGCCAGAATAATAAGAATAAGCAACAAGGAACTCTGGGAATGAACCAACCAAGAAGCTATCGCTCAACAAATATGCAGGAAGAAGTGGAGATGGATTGGCCATGCACTGAGAAGGCCGACTGAGGACATCACGCGTCAGGCCCTCGAGTGGAATCCCCATGGGAAGCGACGAGTTGGATGTCCGAGGGTGACATGGAGGAGGTCGTGTGAGGAGGAAATGAGAGCTTCTGGGCTGTTGTGGAGCCAGGTTCAAAAGATCTCAGAGAACAGAGGTCACTGGAGACGTGCTACTGAAGCCCTGTGTTCCACTAGGAACCCAAGGGACTAATAATAATAATTATAATAATAATAATAATAATATGCTGAAGGCATGGCCTTTCATTAGGACTCCGGGAAATTCGTATTGAAAGATGTCACTGGTGAACAATGGATATTAATGCAGTTCGAGGGCTTATAGAGATCTGATCGGTTAATCTCCGGTTCTATTGTCTTTTTGACCTCATTTGGTATCTTCTCAGTTTATACAGTGCCTTATCCAAATCTAATTTTCTTTATGAAACTTGTCATATTTCTATTAACCTTCGCTTTTCTTAAGGGTATTAATTACTTAAAATGACGATCTTAGTACTCTTTACTAACGGCAATTAACTCAGTCTGAACAAAATAATAATGAGGTTCTTGTATAAGGAAAGGATGATGCTGTGACACCCTGCGAAATACTGCACACTTTTCTCAGACAATCGATTTGCTCACGAGTGTCTCCGTCACATGCGTGTTTGAAATATATTGGCTTAGTGAACTAATTGTCATTGATTATAAATAAGCTCTTTGCACCAGAAAACGCGTTTATTCCCTGAATTCTGTATGCTTTTATGTTGTGCAGCAGAAAAGATGCACAAACTCAAGGTACTGATCATAGGATATTCTTAACTTAGCCATCAATGTGACTCATGACCGACTAACTGTGCTTTAACATTTATCGGTTGGATGAATGGAAAGACAACTCAAAACAAATGTTTGTATTCCCAATTTGTATAGAATCTTTATTTTGTAAAGTATATACTCCGATAATAATTAATCATAACTACATTTTATTCTTTTTTCTGTGCACACACACATTTACTCGCCTGGAAGTAGTTCAGTGTTACCTCTCTCACCATGGTACCATAAATAAATTAATCTGAAAAACACAAACTTCGTAATGTTGTACAGCATGTTCATCACCTCCCCATGGGAAATAAGCACAACCATGAGATGGATGAACTTTGCCGATACACATTTCTCCATTGACCATACCACGAGCTACGAATAAAGGTTCAGATGAGGATGTTTCACCAGCCTGCAATGCTTTCTCTGGTACATTACCAGCAGAACTTGGGAGCCAACTGTAGCTGTATAATGAATGGGAAATATAAAAATTAAAGTCTCTTCCAAATTATTTATGAGGATATTAGTAAGTACAATTTAAACTATTATCATGGTGATGAAATGCTTTCTGGAAACATATGAAGACAGATGAATTTAAGGAAAATAAGGTGATTGGATAAGACACGAATAAATAAGGGATGGCGATGTCAACGCCGTCACCTTTGAGGTAAGGTAATGTACATCTGAGACGATACACCGCTTAATAAATGAATAAATAGTACATCAGTACACATTTGTGATATATAATGATAAGCTTTAGCGCCAAAAGGATTGTTAAGCATGGAATTTCATAGAATTTTGCTGTATAAACTTCAGCAAAACGATAAGAAGATGCAACTAGTTCAGTCGTGTAGTGTATTTGCACATGATCAGATTACCTGAAAAATGTGGTGGAAATACATTAGACAATTCAGATAAATTACATCTTCTTATTTTTTATTCATAGCATTGAGTGTTGACAGCTGATATATCCAAGAATATTTATCTACATAAGTGTCTAAATGTAGACACCCTGGGGTTAATCAAGAGGGTTCCATATGGTGAAGTAGATGGAAAGGAACTCGAACTTAGAAAGCTGATCGCTTTAACCGATGAGTCTCACAGCTCCATAGTGTCAAGACTGCTTAACGCTTGAATGCTGTGTACACAGGGAACATACTAACAAGACAAACAGACGAAATCAATCTAAGTGGATATATCTCATATCAGCACACTAAGCAAGAAACCACTAAGATGAAAGCCGATAAACAAACAGAGAAGAAAGTCGTTATAAGATAACGAGGAGGAATATGAACTGAGGTTCTCCACCTTCCAAACACTGTGCATCTGTACCAGTCAGAGGTTCCCAAGTTGGCATATTTAAAAATCCTAATGAACGTAAGCTCAGGACTTTAATTTTATCAATTGATCACAGGAGAGTAACCAATGTTATTTTATCTAGACGTAAGTATGTACAGAATTAGTAGACAAAGTGAATTTGTTTTCAAATTTACACAACTTACCTGCTCCATCGAATTGTTCTCTTCTCATGATGCATACGTGAATTTGAATAAATCAAAGAAAGAAACTGACTAACTAGTGATTGAACTATTTGATAACAATACTAATAGTAATCACCTTATTTCAGATAGTATTTTTCATGCAACATGGGATTGACAGCATGTAATATTGCAACAAATGACTAGTAACTGAACTCAACTTGTTGGCTAGCAGTGCAATCCAGGATGAACTTTTCATCCCGTTTGGGACTCGTCAGCTGGATATGCCTGCATCCTAACGAGTGACAGTGTTCCCATTGAGACTCCATCCTGACATCCATCGCTTCAAACGCCAAAGCCCTATCCACCAGGTTGGCCGATGAGTCCCAAATAAGACGAAACGCTCATCCTGGATTTCACTCCTAGCCACCAAGTAGAATGCAATGTAGTGAATACCCTGGCAGTATCGAGGCATCTCCATAGGAGGCCATCTGCCAACAGAAGTCGAATAACTCGACCCAGTAAAGCAACCGGGAATTATAACCATCAATGAACGACTAATAATTGAACTATCTAAGGTAGTAGTGGTTGTCAAATTCCTGTACGATACAAATATAACAGCTGAGATTGCAACCAATTTCAAGCCAGCCACTTCAGTATTTCTAGTTTTATGCTCTGATAGTCAAAAATTGGAGTCAAGACCATATATTTTAATTCTACTTTGCCTATAATTGGACATCAATATCAGCCCTGCATATGTATACATAACTCATTTTGTTATTCTGGTTACTAACCAATACATATTAGAGGTACAGTTTTTGGTCACTGGGAAGCATCCATTTTCATATTGCCTAGTCCTGTATACCGACGGGAATCTACCGATCATATTACAATGGCGTCATTAAGCTAGGGGTCTTATTACCAGCGACAGAATTCAGTCAGCAATTAGGACTAGACAACATGAAACTGGCTGCTCGTCGATGGCCAATCAAGATATCTAATTCAGTCCTACACGAGGTTAATCATTGTCAAATAGCTCAGTGGTAACGTCACTGACTGCAACATTGGGTAATACAGGTGTGAATCTCAGACATGACATCACTTCTATCAAGGTTGCATACACACCTTGTTGACAAGTACAAACCATCACAAAACCTAAGTTGATCAGGGCATCCTCCCGATTACCTTCAATCACCTAATATGTATTAGAAGGTGATGTAAGAGTGAACTCTTGACCAACCACTTGATTTATAGAATCAGTTAGAAACAGATATCAATGATACATACATCCAAAAATCCATCTTATGATATACACATATTCATACATACTTTACGCTCATATTGAATAGAGTATGATTTTACTATCATAAAAAGTTGATCAATAGTCAAAAAGAAAAAAACATGTGGCATAGGACAATGAACATAAATGACACGTAACAAAGTATCTATCTCTGCAATATACACACACACACACACAGTGAAACAACATTCCTGTAACCTTATAGAAGTTAGAAAATTCTCATGTGTACATTGAGCATAACTCTTCTTTTGATGTACAGTTCTTTTTATTTGAATAAAAGAAGCAAACAAAAACAAATAATCTTTTTGGATCTAGACTAGGTAAAATAAACTCACAAAATAAACGCTGAACACCATATTCAGCTTTTTCTCAGTTTACTCGAAAAACAATTAAAATATTCCCAGTTATTTTGAATGATCGATCTATAAAGTTGTGTTTCAAAAAACAGTTTCATATTATTATTATTATTTGTCCCTTGTGTTCCTAATGGAACATAGGGCTTCAGTAGCACGTCTCTAGTGCACTCTCCTGTTTTTCATGGTAGTAACTATATTTTGCATGAAAAAGGAGATGAGAACATTTACATTCTCCTGATATTTTTTCTTATTGACTGTTATATACGTTGCCACAGTGTATGAGAACCACAGCCAATCAGTTTCAAATGTCCTTCAAGTGTCGATCTCTGTTCTAATCTTTTGACATTCTGATTAAACCGCCTAAACTTTAAGGACCTGCACACTTCCCATCTATTTTGGCCATCTAACTTCGTCTCCTTTCTGAGTCAGCTAGTGTGATGTCAGTGTTAGTAGGATCAACTCGGAGATAGCGACTCGAAGGATAATAATTAGGACCAGCGTTTGTGCATTTCTCTCAGCCCATTGGTCATAGAATTTAACAAGAAACACAACCGAGATTAAGACGGGGAACATCGGCCAAATAACCGCCAACACAAGGATGTAACGTTAATCAAGCTTAAAATAATGCTACGACTAGTCACTCAATCAAATGAACAATGATAAAATACGATGTGCAACTTAAATAATTCTTCAGTTTTACATCAAACTAACACACTCTATGTTAATATCTCTCATAGCTACTCTATTGTATATCTCCGATTTGAAGTCTAATGGTAGGATCTTTGTCATCTGGATGCAACTCTGTCTAGCTAACACTATTAATCAGCTCAGTAACCACAAACAAGCGGAATTATGATGTGTTCATATCATTCTGATTTGGATTACTTCATACGGTCAATTACCCCTGACATCATCTAGAGATACTATACAGGAACACTGGGTCTCAAGTTGGTATTCATCATGGACTGACATAAGTTGGAGAAACACTGGAAACCTGGGAGGACTGGACAGTTGTTTCGTTCCATTATGGGACTCCTTGGCAGTGCGTACCCATGACCCCGCCAATGGGCTTACTGCTGAGGATCCCCACACTGGGACGAAACAGCTATCCAGTCCTCCCAGGTTTCCAGTGTTTCTCCAACTGACATCAGTCCATGATTAATACCAACCTGAAATCAATAAATCCCCAGAAACCCCCAAATTCAATTAACCTAGTGCTCATTGGTGACTAGCTTCGAGAGGTGATTCCCGAAGTTCCAACGAGAAGTCGTGACCGGTGGAGCAGACCTGATGGCTGTGATGACAAATACTTAACGATGACACTGAATGATGGTCGCGCTATGTCATGGACTGACAGAAGTTGGAAATATGGACCACTGGATTCCGACCCAGTGACTCAATGGTAACGTGCTGGCCACGGATCCTGAAGGTCCCGGGCTTGATCCTTGATGCGGTCATGTATGCGCGCTACTGAGGCCTCCCGCTTTAGTAAGAGACAGGTATCTAGTGCCCCCATGTCTGCAATGTTCCTCCGGCTGATGTCAGTCCATGTTGAATACCAACTTGAAATGACTAAATCCCCAGAAGCCCCCCCTCCACCTAAATTGCGCATTTCATCCTATTTGAGACTCGTCAGCCTGACGTACCTGCCTCCCAGTGAGTGATGTTGTTCCTGATGTATGCCGGTAAGTAAGAAACCTGTGTTCATGGTTTTTGCGCAATCGATGGTGATTATCTGACTAGTGGTAGAAAGAAACGTGTTATCTCTTAGAAATTCTAAAAAGGTTAGATTCTTTTTGATGTGCTAAAATGATACTGCAACAAGGAAAATGGATAATAAAGATTGGGTTGCACTGAATGATATAAATTCACTAGAAGGGTTAGGTATCATCTTAAGAATCAACAAAAACTTAGTGCTGAGAAATATGAATTAATTGTATTAACACCTACAGTCAACTTTCCTTACAAATATTTAATGGGGCACTAAATTATTCTACCATCAATTTAATGGATCATGGAATAAATACCATCACTGCTAAACAGACAACTGGTTAACAGTGACAGCTTCTGTTTTTATTTTATCCTTCTTAGGTTGGTTTGTCTAATTTGGCTGCCAACTAGACCTTGATGGTCTTCATTTTCTTCTTAGTCTCCTAAATTCAACAAGATTTCTCTTCAGAAGCACCATGGAAGTTAATTTTTCCTTAATAGTGAATGGAGGGAGTTTTCTCTTCAAAAATTGAAACAGTTAGTAATTAGAAGACTAATTTTATCTGAGCAATGTGGTGTATTTGCGCAATACATTTCGAACAATCTGATCACACATTTACTTGTCAAGTCAATATATATTAAACCGAGGACTGGGAGGGGGGATGAATACAACAAATAACACAGTAAGGGATTAAAATTAAAAAAGATGAGGACAAACAGGAAGTGACATAGTTGGTCCTTATCTTGGTAAGAAAACAAAGTTTACCAAGGTAGGTGTAGTGTAATAACAAACTGTTTTTGTACACATAAAGGTGGTGGTTTAAATTTGTGTATGGCTATGGCTTCCGCAAATCTCAGAATACGTCCCTGACTGTTTCTATATAAGACTTTGAAAGCTGTTTGAACATTAACTTTGTGACCTGTTTCTATGATATGTTTAGCTATAGATGAAGAGGGTCGTCTCCCACCAGCGTTTATCACTGTTTCACACTCCATTTGTTTTTGAAGCCATTTAGAAATAGGAGGTTTTTTGAGGATATATAGTCACAGAGAATGCTAATAGTCTTGGACAATGGCACGTTAGTGAATAAGGAATTTACATCGAATGAGTACATAATCTTGTTTTTTATATTCAAGACTATCCAAGACTATCAGCATTCTCTGTGACCATATATCCTCAAAAAACCTCCCATTTCCTATTACTTCATCCTTTCTGAAGGAGTTATTATTGCTGTGTGCCGACAAAGTCCACTTCGCATTTGAAGGTGAACGCTTTCGACAAGTTGACGGTGTAGCTATGGGTAGTCCTTTAGGACCACTACTGGCTGATGTTTATGTCATATATTGAAAACCTGGCTGATGATCTCATCGCTAAAGTTCTTCTTTACAAGAGATACGTTGATGACATCATAGTGATTTGTGAGAGACATTAGGATATGCTTTGTCTACTAAATAGACTTAACGCCGTACAAACATACATCAGCCTGACATGTGAGAAAGAGAATAGTAATCAACTGCCATTCCTAGATATACTTCTCAGTCGACGAGAAGATGGTTCAATAAGACGGTCAGTTTACAGAAAGCCTACATGGATAGGACAATACCTGAATTTCCAGTTTTTATCCAATATAATACAAGTGAGGTTTAGTAAAATGCCTGTTTAACAGGATCTATCGTATCAGTACACTAGATGCGATGGATGAAGTCATCAAATTACTGAGCAAAGCACTTATGGAAAATGGATATCCGACGAAGTTTATAAACCGTTGTAGAGGTCAAGTAGCACCAAAGCCAACTCTATACACGGTCCTTAAGAAAAATGTCCATATCACTCTACCATACAGAGGGGAGCTAAACAGTATCATTTTGAGACGTAGGCTGACATCAGCCATTAAGAAAACGTATTACGCAGCGAATCTTACCATTGTGGAGAAAACAAAACATATGCTTCACCAAAAACCTAAACACTGCATCAGTGATTACGTCACATCCCATTGTGTTTACCAATTTACATGTGTGTGTGTGTGTGTGGTCACACATACATAGGGAGGAGTAATCGAGTTATGCAGTTGAGGGTGGGAGAACATGTGCCTAAATAGCTTCAAAAACAAATGGAGTGTGAAACAGTGATAAACGCTGGTGGGAGACGACCCTCTTCATCTATAGCTAAACATATCATAGAAACAGGTCACAAAGTTAATGTTCAAACAGCTTTCAAAGTCTTATATAGAAACAGTCAGGGACGTATTCTGAGATTTGCGGAAGCCATAGCCATACACAAATTTAAACCACCACCTTTATGTGTACAAAAACAGTTTGTTATTACACTACACCTACCTTGGTAAACTTTGTTTTCTTACCAAGATAAGGACCAACTATGTCACTTCCTGTTTGTCCTCATCTTTTTTAATTTTAATCCCTTACTGTGTTATTTGTTGTATTCATCCCCCCTCCCAGTCCTCGGTTTAATATATATTGACTTGACAAGTAAATGTGTGATCAGATTGTTCGAAATGTATTGCGCAAATACACCACATTGCTCAGATAAAATTAGTCTTCTAATTACGCTATCGAAATTTTCCTTAATACTTCAGTTATGATTGCATTTTAACTACTTTTTATAGGATCGAATCTCAATGATACGGTTTCGGTGTTCTGAGATTCTTGTACATCAATCCTACTGATTATGGACATCGCTATTTGTATCTCCCAGTCTTGTCTAAACGAAAGTTTAATAAACAGTCCTGTTGTGACAAACAGAAGAGGCTTTTCTAGCTCAAAATTATTGACAAGTTAGGAAATTAAGGAAATCTGTTCATTTTGAAGGTTCGTATCAGCATACTATATGCGACAAATCACCAATAAAATGACCGATAAATGAACGCCAATCTCAACTTCTGAAACTTTAATGAAAATACACCTTTAACTAGTAGCATAATGATTCTTAAGGCATATACTTTGGAAGTAGTAAGTTAAATCCTAACTTGCAATTAAAACCACTGCGAGTTAACCAGAAACCTTCCAGTCGATTAATCTAATACTACTTTTCAATGTATGTTACCTAGTGGTATGCGAGTTGCTTATTTGAAGTTACGATGGATCACCACAACTATAAATCGAATCCGAATTTTACTCAGCCACCCTATGCATATTCGTTCAGTAGGCAATCAGTCACACCGGTTGTGTGAGGGCTGCTGATACTATCTAATTGCCAAAACTTGAAACTGTTTAGGCTGTGCTCGAATCTGTAACCTATTGGTTAAAAGTCATCTCCCTAAACCAATGAGCCACAGCTTTCAAGGTTAAGCAAGTACTTTGTGACATAAATAACACACCAAAATGAGTGATAATAATATAAAATTATTTTAGTGACGGACGCACAATTAGCTTCCAGTATGATGCTTGCAACGACAAAAAGTTATAACACTGAACATATGACTTGTCAACTTGCAAGCGTTAAGTTCAGGCTTATTAATGCTAACTGATGGTCTTCTATACAGCTCATCTGCAGTGTGAATAAAAAAACACTAGATTTTCCCCAAGCAAAACATTCTCTATGCAAACTATAAGCAAAACAGAACTTCAGTCACTATCTACGCATATACTCTTCGACTTAAGTACAACTAAGACAACCCTCTATAGTCTAATTAATAATCAGTTACCTGACCGCCTTTCTAAAGAGTTCCAATCTGTTTTTGTATATTGGAGTAAGAGTATCTGGCTACCCAGATATTGCGATAAAATGTGAGGATATTCATATATCATTTTGATACAAAACATTGTCACATTATAAAATTGTAAACCTTGTCCGGAGATATAACGTATAGATTAGCTTACTATCCAACTTTTCATTCAAAGATAGTCATCATCCTCATGTAAAGAATAAGATCCGAACATCAAATTGCACAGGAAATAAATTAAAGGAACCAAAACTCTTGTAAAGAGTGTTAAAAATGCTTTAAATGACTTACAAACATTGGTTTGCCTTTAAATTAGTGTTGCATAACACTTCAAAATTGTTTAGTTCTATCTCTTTACAATCATATGATATGAATGCTTTGCCCAGCTTTATGAGCCATTTTCCAGGTATAACATCATCGTTGGTTCGACCACGAATTACATAGATACCAGGTTCAGCTTGAACAGCATGCGGTGGAGGAGCTTGTCCAGAATAACCGGGTAACCATGATAAGTGTACCTGTCGAGCTTTAGAATTAGGCCACATTCTAAAATTTATAAAAGGCTGACTTTTACTACAACAAAAAATACTTTAATTTACTGGTTGATCAACATTAAATATAATTAAACACCTCAGCTTCATGTGTTCAAATTCACTGAGATACTGATATTCTTAAGAAAGAATTTTCAATTTACTAGCATAGCATAGTTTTATGTACTAAACTATATGGATATGCGGTTTATAGGTAAACGATTTGAAAATAAGTAAGGCGACTCAGTAATCCGCTATTACGCTATCAAGGTCAATGGTACCATATATTCGATTGAAATTAATAACTTAATGATTGACAGTCGACCATCTAGATCACTCAAAGTTTCATGAAAATACATGATTCCAGACTTTACTGAAACTCGGATTCGAGTCTCTGAATTCAGAATTCAGAGGACTAACTTCTAGAAGAAAAGTAGACTTATAATAATTCATATTCACGGTCATATTCAAACAACATACAGTAAAGAAAAAAACAACAACTTGAAAAATTACTACACAATAAATGGTGAATATGTAGCCCAGGGATTTCTCTTAAAAAGTGATACGAATACAACTCCTTTTTAAAAAGTTAAAAAAGTTAAAAAGTTCAACAAAATTAAACACACAGCCTACTCATGAGTTTCTTTGGCATAGAATGCCCGCAATGTCAAGATAAGTGTATACATCATTATGCAAATGAGTTTCAGTGAAAATTCTGATAAACTACTTACTATATGCTTTTTTTTCTTTTCGGTATTATGACTATCGGAATCACGAACATCATATTGAATTCAATAGGTTTATTTTTAATTTACAATATTCCAGGATAGTCGAAATAAGTTCTAGTAGATTACTGCTGACCGAATTCGAGTTCTCAGCAGATTGTCTCCTTCACATGTTACGGACTCATTATGTTAGCTTGTAAATGTATGTGGCACAATCCATGAATCCATAAGCCTTTATTATTTCCAGAATGTATTGTTATTTGTCGTAGTAATTCGTATTCATTTACGCACTTCATCATGACGCCTAAAGGTCTGTGACATGTTGGAAGCAATATGACTAATATCGTAATTAGATTTTAATTGGTAAACGTATACCTTTATCGCTGGTTTAAAGCTGAATTTCTGTTTTTTAATAAGAAAATATCATACCTTAGAATAGATATAGTTACAGTATTAGCGTAAATAGCTACATTTGCACATGAACGGAATATAACTCTTCTGGCCAAAATGCATTGTTGGACATACTGAGTTGTATGCTGAACATAAACTGTTATACCTATGTTGCACAACAGCCCCTGACTTACTAATAGTCTGAGAACAATAAACACTTGTTGTATGAGGATTACGTTGCACAATGGCCTCCAATATGGTAAGTACTTCAATCCCTGATCCACTGAACTGCAGCCTCACTAGGAGCTTACTTGAAATATTATCAAACTACATAGATTGGTCACTGTGGAGCAGCCAATTGCACGTTATCTAGTCCTGAGTGCTGATCGAATTCAATCGACCATCTTGTAATGTAGCCATCAAGCTAGGAGGCTCACCATCTGATATCTCCTCTGGAATTCGAATTACCATCCCCCAATGCTGCATACAACGAGGTTACTATTCAGCTACTCAGGCTATTCGAGGTTGCAGATACGCCATGCTGGTGAGTGCCAACAAGCTCGAAACCAAGGTCCAGGGTTTCTTACGGACTGTCTTCAACCAAATAACATTTTCGAACTACTCAATATAAGATTATACAGTAATTCCATGAACAGAAAATCTGATATATAACGAGGAAATTAGTTCAAACTGAAGATAAATGAATATCACAACGAAAAGCATATCTTAGTGAGTAATTCATGGTCAACAAAGCAAACAAGCTAACTAATTCCAGTGGAGCATCATTCCAAATCCAAGGCTTACACACGAACATTACACTATCACTGACGAAATGAAGTAAATTCTTGTTGCTTTAAAACGTTTACTGTCTACATATCGTATCTATAATCTCAAAATATTATGAATCATATTGCATGAAATGCATAACAGTCAATAAACCAACCTTTATTAAGAAACTAATTTTTCTAAAATAAGATGAAAAAGGATACCACGCATATATATATATATATATATATATATATATATATATATATATATATATATATATATAACGTATACATACACGTACATACATACACGTACATATATATATATATATATATATATATATATATATATATATATATATATATGCTTCGGCAGTAAAGAAGTAGGCGGGACAACGTGACTTAGCAGAACAATTATGAAATTAGCACAAAGTATCAACCAATCAAATGAGAAAGACTGTTTCATTCGATTGATTTTGTCACATGTTAGACAGTAAACTGATTGTTATCAGGACTATACAAATTTGAGTAATCGTAATTAAATTTCATCCAATACTATTTAGGTTCAGTGTATGAAGTATTACAGCGAAAACTGATAGTTAATGACTCGAGAAGATATGGTTCAGAATCGTTCACCGTGGTACAGATGTATTAAAACCTTATCTTTACCACGTCTTATGACCTCCTTTTATTTGTGATTAGGGTACTTCCATTTCTTTGAATTCTGTCTTATTATCTTGTATCTTGATTTAATGTGTTGGTATGAGACATGGCTACTTAGACTGACATGTAAGTAATTCCAGGCCCAAGATAACAGGTTTCATGCTCCTTAACACTTATCAGCAAGACATATTGGAAATCTGGAGGGAAACCTACATCTTCTCGAAGATTCAAATTTGTATCACTTGCTAAAGACGTCAGGTACTTCAACACTTAGCGCTGTTTATGCTAACAATCATATGCATTAGCAACAAGTCCTATACATGAAATGGCTACCAAAGAAAAATCAATGTAACAATCAAAAGCTAATAGTTATCTAACTATCTAATCTGTAGTGTCCCCAGTAAGCTATGATGCAACACCGATGTTATATGCTAGAAAACTGTCTATGGGAAGCTCGGAACCAGATAAAAACAATGATCGGTATGGTCAGCAGAACACCCAGAACACATGGAAGCTGTTTTAAGATGCATTGAAGAGTTTGGACTTCGTATCAATAAGACGAAATCTCAGGTATCCAAGATGTGTTACATTACTAGGATACGGTGAAATAAAACCACTACCTGAGAAAATTCTGACGGCTAGGACCAGTCCAGTGCCGAATTCTAAGAGGAAACTGTGGCAGTTCTTGTGTAGAACAGCATTCTACAGTCGGTTCCTCAAAAAGTTAAATGAGATAGCAGCACCTTTACATAAGCTACTTGGTAAACCCAAATTTACGTGGACAGATGAGGCACAGAAAACATTTGATCACATCAAGGAACTCCTAAATGATCAAGAGATGACTTTAAAACTACCAATACCCAGGAAGCCATTCATCGTGTCCACCTATCCAAGTGATTATGGAATAGGCGCAGTTCTGAGACAGACTGAAGGAGTAGGGGAATATGCCAGCCATGTCCTGACATCTGTAGAACAGAAATATTCCACGACTGAAAAGAAATATCTGGCGAGATTTTGGGCGCTTGAGAAATGGAGATCGTACCTCCTTGGTCAATGATTCTATATTGAAACTGGTCACAAACCTCTCCAGTAGCTAAAGACAGGCAGAAACCCTAGGGGAAACTATCACGTTGGATGTTGCAACTGCAAGAGTACGCTTTCATAATCGGTCACGTTGCAGGGGAAGAAAACTGGTTGGTAGACTTCTTGTCAAGATCAGACGAAGAAAATGAACTACCGGAGATCGCATGCAGTAGAACAGGACCCATTAGCATTTGTTCGCCTTCAGAAGTTGGACTCTACACTTAAGGCAGTGATAAAAACCATAACTGAAGGAACAAAGCCAGACAAGCCCGTGGGAAATAAGTAGTAGAGAACGTTTCTGACGTAAAAAGATCGTCCACGGGTGAATACTTATGGAATGCTGACTTGGCGAGAAAGCGACAGGAGCTGGTTGCAAGTGATTCTGAAATGTCTACGCGATAAAAAGATACAAGAATGCCACCAGTTAGCTTATGCAGGTGCCTCACGTACAGCCGATCTTCTCAGACAAAGTGCATACTGACCGGACATGAGAGATGTTGCCAAACACGTGCTGTGCTGTCCCCATTGTCAACTGATGAAAGGTGATCGGTATAAACGACCCCCGCCTCGGTCAATTCCATTAGCAGCAGTTGGTGGCCTGTGGTCTATGGACGAAATGGGACCATTTCCGCAGACATCTAGTGGCAACCAATACCTGTTGGACTTCGCATCAATAAGACAAAATTTCAGGTATCCAAGAAGAGTGTTACACTAGATTTCCATTCATTGTGACCCCGTGTCTACAACGGACAATCTTAGGTGCTGATTTTTAGAGAGGTGGGCGCAGTTATTAACAAGAGAACAGGAATAGTGGCGGCAACGTAGGGATCATTCACCACGCAGGAAAGCAGCGAGGTAGCAGAGACTAAGGGAGACGCTGTTTCAATTCCTGATCAACGCGCGAAGACAATGACTGTAGCGGTGATGCAGCATATTGCCGCGGATCGCGGTGTGCTGAAGATAAAACTGACCGACCAAAATCCTTTTTAAGAGATTGACAAATCCAAATCCTCTTTGGAGCAGTTCGTCATCAAGAGAATAAGAATGACACCATACCACCCGCAGAATAACGGTTTGATAAGACGGAATAACTGTTCACTCTAGGAGTGGCTGTCTTTGAAAGGAGGGAATTGAGAGACAGAACTGCCGTTAACATTATTAGCTCATCTTGCCTCGGTACAAGGAACAACCGTGAACTCTTCAGTCCAGTTAATGTATGGCAGGAAACCACAGCTGTCAATACATAGTAAGACCTGGCCCCAAAAACAGCCGTGGGACATGACAAAACTGAGAAAGAAGCGGAAACAAGCAATCAGAAGTGTGGAACAGAAACAGAAAGCTGATAATCGAAAATATGAGTAGGGAGAAGGAAGTAAATGGAAACTGTTTAAGGTAGGAGATCAGGTGAAATGTGGAGAAAGAGGATACTCGTGAGGAGGTGAATATGGTAGAAGAAAACTTCTCCCGAAGTGGGAAGGACTATACATCATTACCGAGAGACGCGGTTC